GCCACCTTAGGTGTACGTGGCTAGCGCCTTAGCCGGTTGAGCTATAGGCGCCGAGCCAACCTGTCTTTCTTTTTCATTTAATTAGCCACCTTTTATGTAAAGAGAATCCAGAGATAAAACTGAAGGTATTAGCTCGGTACAATGGTTTACACCTGGAAGATCACTTGAGTTCAGGAGTTTGAGACCAGCCTGAGCAAGTGAGACCTTGTCTCTACTAAAAAACAGAACAATTAGTTGTGAGCTGAGGGCATCTGTAGTTCCAGCTTCTCAGGAGGCTGAGGCTCCCTTGAGGAGGGTCAGGAGGATGACTTGAACCCAAAAGTTTGAGGCTGCTGTGAGTTAGGCTGATGCCATGGCACTCCAGCCTGGTTAACAGAGTAAGACTGTCTCAAACAAAACAAAATAAGACAAAACATTCAAAGGTATTACTTGCTCAGGCCAGAATGAGACAGTGCCCACCAGGGTAATGGAAACTTAGAGCAGCATCTACCCCTAAAAATCTATACCTAAAACTAATTATTTCAAAGACTTTTCTTACCAAAATTTTTAAATTTTATTTTTATAAACTGACTAAAATAGTACATATGCATGGGGTACTTGGTGATATTTCAATACATCTAATGTAAGCTGATTAGATCAGGGTAGTTTAGCATATCTGTCCTAAATGGTTTTTAATCAAACCAGCAAGTTGAACAGACTGAACAGACTTGAAGCTTTACTAGGTGCCTGCTATATACTCAGCACTAATGGAAAATGGGCACATAGGAACCATTTTTATCATCTAGGGACTTTAAATCAGCCTAGTGTGGGATAGAAATTGGACGGTGATGCTATATGCCAAAATAAGTGCTGCATATGACGCCCCCAAACAATGAAAGGCTGCTAAAGGATGGGTGGAGATAGGTAGAAAAGGATGGAGGACAATGTGAGCTAAGTGGAAAGGAATGGAATATGCAGATTTGAAGGCTCTGAAGAGACCAGCTTGATTGACTTCAAGGGGAAGCAAGATAAGAAAAGAGGAAGAAATAATGTCAAATCCATAACGCAGAGCTGAATTTTAACAAGTACTAAACATAGGACAAACAGTCTAAACAAAAACATTTATAGGTACTCATTTTAAATACTGTCAGTTTGGGCGACACCTGTGGCTCAGTGGGTAGGGCACCAGCCCCATATACTGAGAGTGGCGGGTTTGAGCCCGGCCCTGGCCAAGCTGCAACAACAACAACAACAACAACAACAAATAAATAAATAGTCAGTTTAATTTATCTGACCCCTAACTTGTGGGATTCTTCTTTATGCTTTTGGAACACCTTATGAACAGTGACAGCTAAAGTTAAAGGAGTTTCCAGATTGATGGAGTCTAAATGACAGGAAAGCAAATAAAATCCAGGGAGAGACAGAAGGGCCCACAGGAAGTATCCTAAGAACTGTTTCTTTTAAAGGCAAATGTGAAACAAAGGTTATTGAGGAAGAGAAAGACAGGCCTATAGAACAAGATGTAGCTTTACAAAGCAAGATACATTTGCCAAGGACAGTGATCAGATCCCAATGCCACAGCAAGTAGGCAGAGAGGCCAACTTAAGTAGTTCTTAAACTGGATACTAAATCTAAGTAAGTCCTCATCAGTTAACTCAGCTACACACAGCCATACTCACACACACTCATGCTCTCAAAGAACACTGAAAAAGAGTCAAGAACATTAAATGAACATAGGTAAGGAAATGGTATGTATTAACATATGACGGCGTAGGTTGGCCCATGAAAAAAACTTTTTAATGTAAATAAGAAGCTGTTGTGTATAAAGACTCTTTCAACTTTATATAAACAAATAGCCAAAAAAGTAACATGCCCACAAAATCCATCCCAACACATACTGGAAAATACCAAAGTACTAATGGCAGGTATTTCTGGGTGGCAGGATTACAGATGACTTTAACTTTCTTCTTGTTTTGCTAACAAAACTCTAAGAAGGATGATGAAACTTCTCTGGCCCCAAATAAGGAATCAAAAACCCAGTGAGAAAAGAGTAGGTGTGAGGAACATTTCAGATCTCATCTAGTGTCTTCATCTGCCAGATATGTCCTCCTACTTCAAATTGCAAACATGAGAGTGAGTCTATTTCCAGAGTGGGAAGAACATGAGGGAACCCCCACCACCCATGCTAAGGTTTAAAATGGGAAAAGTCTCATCTTAGACACAGACAACTCTCCCTGTGCCCAGTTACCAAATTCCCACCTGACGGAGGCTGGAAAGTATGTAGGTGCTTGAAGCTTCCTTCCAACAGCTGCATGACATGGAGAGACCCTTGATTTGATGCCACAAAGAGCTTTGCTGAATCTTCAGAAAACAAAATATGAAGGGCAGAGTGAAGGAACGCTGGCATTTTGGAAACCTTTGGTGGAACAACAAACAGTAAGCTCGTAAGAGAGAAGGGAGACTACAACCCATCATAAATAATCCCTGCCAGGCTCAAACAACGTTAATGCTTCCGTCTCTAAGCAAGCCAAATGACCCAGGGCATGGAATACCAGCATGCTCCTTTTCATCTCTTTAGTAAATCCTCAATTCTCTATCATGGAAATGACCAAGTCACATATGAAACCACTACGCAGAAAAGCCTAAGCTTTACTGCCTCTAGGGCATTCCCTTACCCCTCCCCTCCAAATTGATTATGCTAATCAATTCAAAATGGAAATAAAAGACTGTTTTGCAACAGCTGTCTCCAAATAGCTTTCCACTAAGTAAGGATTCACATCCGGTTCATTTCCACTTCACACACAAAAAATCAATCACACATTTAGGAAGTTTCTTATGTAAAAAGACATTGGGCTATCACTTACTCTTTTGAGGCTTATGTTGTCTTGGTCATAATTCAACCGACAGAGAAAAAACCGAGAAGCTGTAGAATAGGCTATCCAACTTCCACATGGGGAAATACAGCTACAAATAATGTTCTCAGGACCCTGGTGATATTAGGAATCAAGATGAATGTTCAAGTAAAACTTCATATGATGAAGCTCACTGTGACTCAAGCTCTTACCACTCTGAACATACCCACAAGTACCTACAAAACCCCCCAACACTCATGGTGTGTGCCACAACAATTACACTACAACTGGTGTTTCTGTGTGCCATATGATGACAGCTCTGATGGTCATTCCAGAAAAAGAGTTCCAAAATCTCTCTGAAGGTGGACTAGGCATGGCCATCAGTGCATAGCTTCTTTCACCTTTGAAGGTGACCATAGTGAGATTCAGCAATGAGGTACATAGCACTTTTTTTTTTGGTAGTTTTTGGCCGGGGCTGGGCTGGAACCCGCCATACCCGGTATATGAGGCCAGCACCCTACTCCTTGAGCCACAGACCTCATAAATAATCAATATTGTTATTGAAGACTGCATTCACAAATACTTGCATAATTAAAGCAAAAAAAGCTTTTTCATGAATCATCATAAAAAAGAAGTTATTTTCGAGACAGTGTCACTTTGTCACCCTTGGTAGAGTGTCATGGCATCAAAGTTGACAGCAACCTCAAACTCTGGGGCTCAAGCAATTCTCTTGTCTCATGCCTGCCTCAATGCCAGGCTATTTTTAGAGATGGGGTCTCAATCTTGCTCAGGCTGGTCTCGAACTCCTGAGCTCAGACATCCACCCACCTCAGCCTCCCAGAGTGCTGGGATTACAGGCGTGAGCTACCTCTCTTGACCTTAAAAATTTTTTTAAAGGAAGATCATAGCAGTCAGTAAATTATTAACATAAAAATTATCTCTGGAGGGAATAGAATAGAGGAGTGGGTAAAGGGTGAGGAGGGGCAGCATCTGTAGCTCAGTGGGTAGGGTGCCAGTTCCATATACCAAGGGTAGTGGGTTCAAATCCAGCCCCAGGCAAACTGCAACAAGAAAATAGCCAGGCATTGTGGCGGGTGCCTGTAGTCCCAGCTACTCTGGAGGCTGAGGCAAGAGAATCACCTAAGCCCAGGAGTTGGGAGGTTGCTGTGAGCTGTGGGACACCACGGCACTCTACCAAGGGCGATATAGTGAGACTCTGTCTCTTCCCCGCTCGCCCCGCCCCCAAAAAGGGTGAAGAGATTCATTTTTCATTTATACCCTTTTGTACCATTTGAGTTTTTTAAATTGTGTGATTTTCATAATAATATCTATCAAAAGAAGAAATACCAATTTCCTTTATGCATTTGTAATAAATTCTGAATCTCTAATTTATAATGACAGGAAATAAGATTCTGGTGATACAGTCCTTCATTCAGATAGTTTTAGAATTTGTACAGTTTATGATGTGAACTAAGTATCCCTCAAAATTCAGAATGGGAAAAATGTTCTGGATTTCAGAGCCTGAGCACACAATGAAACTTCCTTACCTTTGTCTTGAGGTGCAGTAAATGATCTGCATTTTTAGAGAGTGGAAGGGTATCCCCATTCTTGCCTGAAACAAGAAATTTTACTAATTTTTTTCTTACTGTAGAAAGATTATTAGCACATTTTTTCATCAAAAAGGTACTTCTGGCTCAGCGCCTATAGCTCAACCGGCTGGGGCGTCAGCCACGTACACCTAAGGTGGCGGGTTCGAATCCCCAGCCCGGACCCGCCAAACAACAATGACGGCTGCAACCAAAAAAT